CTTACGCTGGGTAATCATGGACACACCTCCACGAATGCCCTGCTCTATAAATAAATGCATATTAACATCCGTTAATAATTCCAAAGCTTGATCAGTCATTTTTAAGCAGGCTTGCCAAGCTAATCCAGGTGCAGTCATCAAATGCGCACAATCTAAACTATAGTAAGTTTTACAAAGCTGTCTAAAATTTTCAAACACATCTGCTAATTGTAAAACATCACTTTTTACGTATAAATCATGATATTCACCTAAATTTTGAATATGAAAAGCTTGCCAAACAGTTTGAGCATGAATGTAATCATCCGAAGATATACTTTCACCAGTTAAAGTACTTCGAAAGTTCTCTATGGATGGTAACTGAGTATCTTTAAATTTATCAAAAGAGTTGATGTATTCATATGGATATATTCCCTTCCGTAATAATAATTTTATGTTTTGATCATTGGGAAAATTTTCTTTTAAAATCCTAAATTTTTCTTCAGGCAAGTTAGATACAAGTTTTTCCAAAGACGCGTTCATAAACTGTAAACTATCAATAAAAATTAAAGATATTCTTAGATTATTCCATTTTCTTTTAATACTGAAAGAAATATATTTTTCCATATTATTAGGTATAACATGAAACTCCCTGTTTTGAATTTTGCCGATGCCTTGCATGATTAAATGTGCATCATAGTGTTTTAAATTATGAAATACGACAGGAATTTTCTTTTGAAGTTTAAATTTCAAATTGCACTTATTGTGCAGAGCTCCTCTATACTTTCCCGTAAGATGATCGTGATCTTTTACACGATCATTATTCAAATTTTTTTTTTGCATAAGTAGCAATGAGTTGCATTTTTAAAATTTTGTTCATCTTGAGATGTCATGGAAAGAGGTACAATACTATATAATTTTTCGGCTATTTCCTCTTCTTCACGTAAAATATTTTGTATAAAATGGTCTACTGCATTTGGACCTCTATATACTGTTACAGGTTTAACGCTTTTCCCATCAGGTCCTACAATTATGTAAGCATATCCGCAAGCTTTATGATGATGTATTTTTTCTGTCTGTAAAAGACGCAGTAGCTACATCAGGTGTACAAGTGTCTATGTTTTCAATTAAAGCTTCAAAATCAGCATAAATAATGTACGGAATAGACTCTTCATATTGATAATTGGTATATTCTAATATTTTTTCTTCTTCTGATGGCATTTTAATTCTCTGTATGTTTTGATGTTGACAGTATTTTGCATGTTCTTCTAACAGGTTTTCACGGGTGAATCTATGCAAGCATCTCATGCAATAGAACATGCTTGCCATCATGTTTTGTGAGGTTACCTAATAACCGGGACATATTTCTTATTAAGCAATAATGTTGAGTTAGTGTCATCACTGATTAAAAGTAAATTAATACAATCAGTTTCTTTTCTGTTTGAAATGTAGAGGGGAAAGACTTCTTTTTCTTCATATCCAAATACATTTATTCTAAGATTATTTAGTTTTTCAATAGATGGTATTTTTGTAATAGGAACAGGGCATTCAATATTTCCTAATTTTATTTCATGTTCATAGGGTTTATAATGATTTACTCGGTTTGCATTATTTTCTCTAGAAAGATCATATTTGTGTGCAAGTAAGCACCACACTAAACATTTTTGATCCTCATTTTGAATGTTTAAAATGGCTTTTTTCATGGCAAGTTCTTTGGGAAGAGGTATATAACTACTAGCGGCTAAGGGATGATATCGAGCTGTGCAGAGTTCTAATTTTTCAATTTTATCTAATGTCCATCCCGAGCCATTTTGTAAAAATTCTTCAAACGATTTTTTTATCTTGTTATAGGCCTCATTCAATTGTTCTTCAACATTCTCTATTGTTAAACTTGTGAGGCAGGTAGATCTAAAATGTGGTTTAATAACCTCTTCGTCCCCATCATGTCCTATTCTAGAGAACTGTGCTGTTACTATAATGTACCATTTTAAAGCCTTTTTCTCATTGATTTCTTCCTCGAGTTTCGACATAATATTTAATTTGATATTATTTAAAAAATATTTCTAGATCTTGATTAATTTCTTTGGTGGCGATAATTGTAAAAGAACTGAAGACATTTTAAGGCCGACGCTGCATGCTTCATTCGCTTGTTTAATGGATGGGGGTTATTACTTTTCCTTTTAATACTTTGAACAGTACCATGTTGAGTACGGTTATGTTTCATTAGATCATGTTTTCTGCTAAACACGTCGTTGCATTTTTCACATGAAAAGGTATTTTTTTTAACATGAATATTTTGTATGTGTCTTCGTAAACTATCTGCTCTCGTAAACTGAGCCTGACATTCTTCACAGTGAAAGATTTTTCCCTCATGTGTTTTCGAATGACGAACTAAATTACTTTTTTGCTAAAACTTTTACCACATATGTCGCAAACCTGTGAAAGATAGAAAAGCGGCTTTCAATATGCATGCTTTCCTCATTATAAAATTACGCATTTTTAATTATCCCTCACTAAAAAAAAATTTAATTACATAAATCATTTTAGAAATCGTTTAGTATTAACTCTTTACGTTTAAAGAATTTTAGTTTAGTTTAAAAATCTCTCTCTCACTACTTTTTTTCCTAATAATCACACATTGTACAACAACGACTGAAGGGAAAGAGAACCATTGAATAAATAACTATATCTGCAAGTCACTATTAAAAAGAAAAAAAAATGTTACCTCTCTTGTACTTGGTTGAGGTTCCATTCTTTTAGAAGTTAGAGAGTTGAATTCCTCCTCCTGAATTCCAAAGTCGATAAACTAAGAAAAAAAAAGAGAAAAAACTGTGTTAATAAAAAATATTTTTTTTAGAATATTCAAAAATGATGACTGCTGTTTAAAAGTATTTGATACTTCATTCATTATCTTATAATAAATATACTTTTAAAATAAAGATTCAAAATAAAAGCATCTTCTCTCATAAAAAATAGTTCATTCATGCATTAAAAATATCATGCAACGATATACAAACTCGACTGATTTCCTTCAGACTCATACAAATGCTTTAAAAAAATTTTTTTTGAGCTCTAAACTATGTAAAAAGCAGGCTATTTAATTCAAATCATACTTGAAGCAAACATATAAATCATGCATTAAAAAATAGATTGATTATAATTCATTTTAAAAAGTTCATCTAGTCTGAAAAAAAATAATAATTAAAATAATATATAACAGTTCTAATACTTACGTTGGAAGAAACAGATTGGTGATCTTGTTCAAAAGCCATCGCAAAAAAATATTAAGCTCTGTGAATCAAATCAGGAAGACTTGCTCTTTTCAAGGTTGAGAGAGAAACTGACTTTTTCCATTTCTGAAACACCTTTTATAGGGATTAAAGAATGTTCTCGAAACATTTCAGATTTGTATAATCTGAACCAGGACAACAACAACATTATGATAACCCTTTCTTTCGAATACGATTTCAACTTCCATTAACCCTTATCATAAACGTGAAGTCTACAACGCTTATCAAGGATCTTCCTTCACTTCTGTATGTATTGTCAAACTTGGAATAGCAACAACAACCTTAAGATAATACATTCTTTCACATATGATTATCAGAGTTTTAGAAATTTTCCATTACTCTATCATGATAAGTGGATGATGCTTTTAAGATTACCCTTATGCATATATGTATAAGTAATGTCAAACTTAAGAATAACAACTCTTTCAAATAAGTTTTCAGTGATTATCAGAGTTTTCCATTAACCTATCTTACCATGATAACGCAATAATATAATGACGCCTTATAGACTGTCCTTCCCAAACAAGACAAGACAAGAATGTATTACGATAAGTGTTGATGAATTATATTGGTGAAGATATATTTTTATGTATTAATTTTAAAAAATATAAGAGATTCTTTAAGGCAGAAAAAAATTGTTCATTTATTTTGTGATAGGTTTTTTGAATCGAAATGTTATGAAGATTATAAAAATGCATTAATATAAGTACAGCTATTCTATTTAAATTTCTGTGTTTGGTTGATGTTATGACTATTTTTTTTCCTTATGTTTTTAATAGAAATATATTGAAATTTTAGTTTTAATTTTAAAGCAAACGTGTATATCAAATGTCAGTAAATGGATATTGCTGTTAATTTGATATTAACTAATGAAAGAAAATTCCAAGTATATTTTATGTATAATACAGAAATTTATTCTTTGAAAATAAATGTATTGAAAGGTAAAAGCTTCTTGGTGAAATGAATGTTTTTCATAACATTTAAAAACGATGTAAAACAAATATTGATTGTAGAGAGAAGAAAGAGTCTATATGTAAAAATAATAATTTTATTCATTTAATAAGGTTCCCATTTTCGTGGAGAACGTATATGTTTTACAGATTTAACATGCAATATTTTTTTTTTCATATTAACATCATGATTCTGTAAATTTTCATTTTTGATATAGTCCATTGGCATGTTGATTTCAGTCAAGGCTTTTAAAAATTCGTTTTTAGCAGGAATATTAATCTTTTTCTTTTTGGTTGTAAAAAGGATATTGAATAAGTCTATAATATTTGAATGCTTAATTTTTTCCTTATGATAAAGTACCTCGCCTTTATCATTCCACTTAAGAATATCAGGATGTCGCTTTAAAATAGCTAATGCATTTTGTGCTTTTCTTCTCATTCGTAAAGGTACACTGTCTAAGATAACAGTAGAATAATCAGTTACAGTCATCTGTTTGTCGCCGTCTGTCACAGATGAGGGGGCTTCTTCTTCCTCTTTCACTTTCTTCATCTCAGCTGAATCGTCTAAAGAATTTTGTGAGTCGTCTTTAGGAGGTTTAAAGGGTGAATTGTATTCCTTTAAGTTCAATTTCTTTTGTAAAAGTTCATAATAACGCACTAATTTCTCACGATCGTCAACTGAACTGTTTAAAATATGCATCATGGCTTTATCCAATTCACTTAACTGTTTATCAGAAACTTTGTGAACTCCATTGATTAGTCCTGAAGAACACTGAGAGCAGCAGGAATCAAAACGTTTAGAAAACCTCCTTTTTGTAAAATTAATTTTCGTTTCTTCACAAGAGAAATCTTACGATTTCCTAATTTTCGTAAAGTTGTTTTATGCTTACAGAGAGACTTCTTTTGTTGCTCTGACAATGGAACGTTTCCTTTGAGTATGTTTAAACTACATTCGCATATAGCTTTTATGCAATTGATATTAATTTTCTTTAATAGCTGTTTCCGTAACTTTAACGGACAAATGTTTAACAGCTGTAACTGTCTTAGCTGTTTCTTGACCAGCGTCATTTTATAAAATGATGATGCATTTTATAAAGCTGTTGTTTTTATTATTTTTTAATAATGTTTCATTTGATAAACATACTGTACTTGGTTAGGTAAAATTTGGGTGCGTAAACGTAATTCTTCCGGAGTTTCACTGCGCAGATCAATGAATAAATAAGAAAAAGGTTTCTTGGTTGCATCTTCATATACTTCTTGAAAAAACTTTAAATGACGCGGAAAGAGCTGTTTTCCTAAATGTACGATTTGACTGACATCTCTTCTGTTTTTACACAAAATCAAATAGTGTGCATTTAAAGTCACTTCACGCATTTCTTTTCCCTTGTGAAAAAAGTTTTGTGTGATAAAAATAACGCTTAAATTTAAATGATGACTTCCTTTTGTAAATAAGTTAGTCAGACGTTTATCATTCCCACATTCGCTCATCAAATCGTCTATGATGAATAATGTGTTGGAACCTAAATATTCTTGATATTTAATTGGTAAACCTTCGACAAAAGTAACATTCGGTATATCATTATACAGAGGTTGGTAAATTCCATAACACCATACTACTTTATCGGGAATCGTTGAAAACATTTCCTCTTTATACTTTAACAGTTCTCGTACAAAATAGGTTTTCCCACATCCAGTGGGTCCCGAAATCACCATTGTGAAAGGATGTTGTAGCTTTGGAAATTCCATATTAAATGAGACAAGACACATAATGTATAAAGTTTAAATGTATTTATTGATAGAAAGAAGATCTTACATGAAATTTCTTGATTACAAAATTATATACTTTAATATCATTAGATATATGTTGAGGTATGAAAGATAACAATATATCATTGAGAGATTGTCCACGACATTTACAATGTAAATAGTATATGCAATATTGACCACATACTGCTGTTACATTAGTTTGGAGAGTCATCGAATTAAAGTCCATCTGTGGAAATCGTTCTGCATACTTGGCTATCGGTCCAGGAAAATAGGATGGGTCATGTCCATAGGAATCGAAAAATTCTAAATGCTGTGGGGATGAAATGTAAAAGGCTAACCAGTGACTACCGGATTCAGATGCACGATCTACATTAGCTATAAAGCAACTTGGATATTTCTTGATTGATCTCGATAGGGAGTCGATCACTTGCAAAAACTCCCAGAAATGCTTTTCGTGTCTTTGCATTCTGAGAGAGTGCTCTGTTTATTTCAAGGCTGTCCATTGCTTAATTAGCAAAATCGCATAGTACATGACGAGATTTTGTTATTTCAATCACGTTTTGAAATTCTGCATAGACTAGCACCGAGAGAGTCACAGAGAGAGCTTTAGCAAATTTAATTTCTACTCGCAAATTGCCTTGATGCTGTAAGTTAAAATGAGATCCATCACACATATCTGGAGTTAAATCGAAAGCATATAACACATGTCCTTTCACAAATTCTTCTCGAGATAAATAGATGCCTTTGTCGCGATTAAATCCAGAAAATAAACTGTGGTAAGCACGCACATAATGATTAGATTCGAAATCAAGGTCCATTGGTTTACATGGAACGGGTTGTCCATCTACATAAATCGATATAAAGTTGACATGATGATGGGCAAACAGAAAAGGATTCATTGCAGCATTTTCTACACAAGTAATAATGACTCGCTTGGGCATCAATTCTAAAAATACATTATCTTGCATAAAAGACCAACTTCCCTTAGATACTGAATATGTTTTGCATAATACTCGATCTATAGGGTATTTAGCAGAACTTTTTTCCAACGCTTTTACATGTCCGAGAGAGACTCCAGGGTTTACTTTTACTTTTCTGATAAACAAAGAAGCATGATCCAAGATCACTTTATAATCGGCATCTTTCTCAGTAGAAACTAGACAGAAAGCAGATTTACTACGCACCATTTTAATTTTCACATCAACTAAATTTAACATGAGTCGATTTTGTTGAAAAATGTCACAATGTAATTGTCCTATCAAATCCACACTTTGACTGTTTTTTATAAGTTCACCGCGAGCTTTTAGTCCAGCATCCGCATCTTGAGCTAAGACATCTATTTTATTAGGTGAAGTGTCTTGGAAAAATCCTTCGCAGGTGAGTAAACTTTTCTTTGCATCTTCCCCATAATTCAATAATGTTTCGATGAAGGCTCTATAGGGATAGGTATTTGTCGCAGATGAAATGTTTCTTTCATTTAAACTTACATCTACTTGCGAAAAGAGAGAATGTAAAAATAAATTTACAGGGGCAACCGGTTCTTTGTCTGTTAGATTGGATCCGTCTGCCTTAACTACTTTAACTTTCACGTGTATATAAGAAGCAGCTAGATCAATATAGTCTTCACCACTGCCAGAAATATTAAATTCGATAGGTCCTCCATCTCGTATATTTGCGAGAGGGTGATATTCCACAAACTGTCCTTTTTCTATAGCTGTTTGCGTAGGAGGAATGGTAAATAAATCTAATTCAGATTTGACGCAAACGGGAGAGTCTCGATGAATATACGAAGTCATACTTTTTTTTTAAGAGAAAATATCCTGTGCTTTCACCTTCTTTGATCGGTGAGAAATGGTACGCTTTTTCCTACGTTTCTGCTTTTTATTGACTCGTCCAGAACCAATCATGTTCTTCACTTTAGTAGCAGCTTTATCCGTTAATATATTTCCGGCTTCTTTCAGTCGACGCTTAGCAGCCTCTTTTACATCTTGTCCTTGTGATACATCATTTAACAAATTCAGTCCACTATGCCATACTTGTTTTCCAATTGCTTTGGCTCCTGATTTAATAAGAGGTACGGCAGCGCGAAAGAAGGATCTGAATAGACCCCCTAATCCGTATCCTCTCTGATAAAGATTACCTTGATAATAATTCAATCCATGTCCTGTTTGTTGTACATAATAATCTTCAAAAGATTTTTGACAACACTGATAAGGTACATACATTATGACAAGTATTTTTGACGGAAATGAAGTTTCACGTATGACCTTCCTCGTTCAAATGGCGTAAATGCTCCCATATGCGTTCTTATATCGATTTCCAAAGTGTCTATCATTTTCCGATTCACAGTTCACAGGTAAATAATGAGGTCTATCAAATAGTGCACTCACCACTTCTCCATCGCTACCAGTTACTCTTACAATTCGAAGAAGAGGAGCTAAAACATCTCCTACGATTTGAGGTTCTACAATATCCGTATATATATCATTAATACACGATAATGTGCACAGGGGTCGGCTGCAAAAGGACTTTCTACAACAGTTTCGGAACTATCATCTGTAGATGTAATTTCCATAGGTTCAAAACCTAACATTTGTGCTAACCCATCATGTAAAATCACTTTAGCGTTATTTTTCACTTTGATTTTCACTCGTTTTGTTACTGGGTTATAATTAAATATTATTTTGTTTTGATGTTCTTTAATATAAATAGCTTTTAAAATATCAGGTACTGTTTCATAACATCCTGGAGGTAATCTACGACCTAACATTTCACCATCTTTCTCTAAAACAAATCCAATTAAGTTATTGTCTGCATTCACATTGTGCCATGTGTGCGGATATAGCAATTCAACCAAACCAACTTCCCACATACCTTTTAATTCAATGGGAACAGGTAAACGTGTTATAAAATGTGAAATTTTATTTTCGGGGAAATAATTCATAGAGCTATCGCTCGGAAGTGTTACGTAGAAACTCATTTTCACAAAATGATTCGGATACAGTATTTATTTTCTCACACTTTATATCGAGAGTAAATTAGAAGCTGGAATCCATTGATTGAATTTGTCGGGATAACCGCGATATTTTACAAAGTATTCTGTCTGTTTTTTTACGCATACGTTTCTTTAAAATTTTTTCAATGCGATATTCCTCTTTCAGTCTCACTTTCTGCAACTCTTGTGCATAAAACGTTCCTTTTACTGAGTCTCCAAGTAAATCTTTAATTCTATACACGGCTGGATGTCTTTTAACACACTCTGTCACCACAAATAGTTCTTCCGTCCAATTGGTTTCATAGCCTTTTTCGAAAGTAAGCTTTAGTTTGGAAACACGTACCACATCTCCTACAGCGAATATACATTTAGAAACGTTAGAAGGATGATCTTCATACAAGGTAAACCATACATCACTCTCATTTTCTGAATTGACTTCTATGGGAGCTCGCTTTATACTTGAATGAAAAGTAGCATTATAACTTTCTATTAATTTGTCCAAGACATCTACATATTTATATGTATTTCGAGTCGTAAAGTATTTCCACATTTTTGTTTTCAAAGTGCGATTAAACCTTTCCACCACGGATGCTTTAGTAGTATTGAATGTACTTGAAAAGTTTAACTTGATTTCTTTTTAAAAATTTTATAAACACTTTATTTTTAAATTCGGTGCCCTGATCCGTTTGAAGTAATTTTGGTTTACGTTGACTCATTATTTTTTGAAACGCTTTCACAATATCTTCTCCTCTCTTTTGTTTCAGAGGAATAGCCCATGCATATTTGGATAATATGTCAATACAGGTTAATATATATCGATAACCATCATTATGATCACGTAAATGTGAAACATCCACTAAATCAGCTTGCCATTGTTGATCTATAGAATACACACGATTACTCTATTCGTTGGAAATTTTCGGCGAATTGGCTTGTGAAGCGTGTACGCATCTACTTCCCTCTAACCATGTTTGAATCTCTTTCCTGGAAACTTTACCTCCTGCAGCACGATGTAAAGCTTCAACACCACCAAAACTTGCAACATGAGCCGGATCCTGATACGATAAATTCATATTCATAACCTATTGAATTATTCTTCATATGGATAATGATAAATTTCCCACTGTCGTTAAGACGTAGCGTAAAATCAATAGGAATTTTATGAAATTCTGTAAAAATATAGATGGATGATAAAATAACACATAAAACAGTGTATAAACACACCGCAACGGTGGCTTCTCCTGGGGCAGGCATAATTGCAATTGATGAGCTGATTCAAATTCCATTTTCTTATATATAGGCTTTTTTACCTAAATCTGAATGTATCCCGTCAGCTTAGTGGTTAAAATCTTCAAACTACTGAGCTGGTGAGATATTTTGTTTCAGGGTTCAATCCTATATTTTCATAGAACATTTAAAAAAAAAAAAATTCTAAAATAGATTTTTCTTTTTTCCCCTAGAGCTTTCCTAAAAAATTATTTTCTTTTTTCGTCCCTAGAGAGGGCCATGACCCAAAAAAAAACTAACTTTAAATGAAAAGCAGGTCTACAACTCAACCAGCAGTCTACCAACACTCAACTCACTCGTGGACCACGCCTCCTAGTGTGATGACGTTGCCCTTTGGCCCCGCCCTCTGTGTGACGTCATTGGCCACGCCCCCCTCTGATGCAGTTTCTTTTTACTTACGTGTCGTGGTGTGCGTATTTTGAATGAATAGAGTGATGATTAATATTTTAACAAAAAAGTTTGACCAGTTTTAGAAATGTATTTTTTGATGGTTTGGACTTTTAAATCGGTATATAATGCGTAATTCTTTATAACTGAAGAAGCACTGGCCTTTTCCTCTAAGGACAGAGTTTGAATTTTATTGAGATTTGTTTCCGCTACATGTCTCGATATGGGGGATGCATAAAGCAACTTTGGATGGATTATTGTTTTATATAATGTCATTTTATTATGAAGAGAAAATTGTGATGTTTTTCGGCAAGAGCTCTTAATCTAGCTATGGAAATATTAAACTTACTTGGAGTTTGACAAAAATCTAAAATTGGTTTTTTGTCAAGTGTGATGCCTTGGGACTTCTTGTTTTCAGTCTATTTCTTCTTCATACAACTGGGGAGTAGAAGGTAAATTAAATGACTGATATTTGTGAAATGGAATCGCTTTTGATTTATTAGCATAAACTGAAATTCTGCGATCTGTAAGCCATGACTGTGGCAAATCAAGATAATGCTGAATGTTAATGATTCCAAGTGTTTTAGCTTGTGTCAGAATAGCTGTGTCATCAGTTAAGAGTCCTGGTATTGCGGGATGTTGTAAATATTAATATTATATAATAAACGACTCAGAACTGATCCTTGGGGTACACCTGCTTTAATTGGTCTTTGCAACAAGTATTCA